CAGTTCTCTGGAGTGGAGAACCCAGTGTTCCGACAGAGGAGTCTCATTGGAAGCTGAGGTTCAGTACTATAACCTCAACTTCCCACGCGTGGGGATTTGGCGGACCCAATCGGTACATCAGAGAGCGTAATTTATTCCAATAAATATTTTAAATTATTATTAACGCGAAAAATCGCGTTACATGTTTCATAATGATTCAAATGCTCATACTATCTACATTTCTTTTAGAGGCCATGCAGAAAAACAACAAATTTCCAGGGCCGCAGGAAGAGCAATTCTGCCTCTTTATGCAGAGGTCCCTGAAGGCCCTGGAAAACCGTCGTCGTCGCGAACATTCGCGACAGGATGCGGACATCCACAACCCAGCCCCTCAACGATGCCGTATTGCCGAGAACCCGCAGCTGGAACAAGATGAGGATTTGTATGAGCTCTTTGGAAACCTGCTTTAGGGAGAGGCCATCTACAATGAGCTGTATATTCTTTTTTCTTCCCTAATTTTAAATATTTGGAGGTGCTGTTTGCCATTTTATGGTTGAGCATCACAGAAGACAGTGGGAAGGGGCTGTTTTCCCTTTAATTGTTCTTATTATTGACAGATATCTGCTGGGAGAGACAAAGTTTTAGTTGCGTCACACAGAACAGGGCGGGGTCAGGGCTCTTTTCACTACTAATAATTCTGTTTTTTTTTTCAGGTGCAGCGGTTAAATGAATTGCAGAGACAAAATTTTTGTTGTGTCTCACAGAAAGGGGCGAGGTTGGGGCCCCTTCCACTATTGATTATTTTATTTTTCAGGTAAAACTCGAGAATGGCTTGAGGACATAAAATATACACTGTGTCCCACAGGTAATAATTATCATATTAATCTTCCAACTAATGCCATTTTTACCTTGATAGTGTTTGTTTTTTCTTTTTTTTAGCACTTCTCAATGAGACAGGACGTTCGACGATGCCCAGATCTGCCCAAGTAGCGAAATTTAATCATAATAGTATGGAGAATATTATTAAATTTAAATTCAAGGCCTGGATGGACAATCTATTGAACTTCATCTTTTGTTTAAATTTTATCGTTTTAGCTTAAAATACCACTATAAAATAATAGATTATAAAAAAAATAATGAGACAAAAAAAGGAACATTTTGTGATGAGGCAGAATTTTGCGCCCCCCCCCCCCCCATAATTGACACAGCTTATTTTTCCTAGGTTAAGTTAGGTTGAAGTTACTCTTTTTTCGCCGCCGTTGGGTAATCCATCTCCAGATATTCCTTACCCCCTTCCCCATTTCTCCCCGCCCTAGCACTCACGCATCAAGCAAGAGGACCTCACGTGACCCCGGAAGAAGGAGACATCCCTCGAGAAAGTCCCTGTATCAAAAGAAGGAAAAGGACACACAATAACGAATGCCCCCGATTAACACCGATTATTACCATAATCGGGAGGAAGAGGTGAGGATGATTGGCAGCCTTCACTCGTGCCACAACTGCCCCACGAGTCACTGCTCCATAAAGTAAGAGAGTTGCCCCGAAATGATCCTGTGAAGAGTTACGCCGAAGAGAACTGCGAAAAGACCTTGAAAAAGTGTGAAGAGACAAAATGTGAGAAAAGGAACTGGAGTGTGAAAGAGAAAAGGAGTGAAAATCTAGTGAGAAAGGAGTGAAGGATATTGTGGCGGATTTTCGTGTGTGAGAGGAACTATTGGAAAGATCGTGAGGAGTAGAACTATTGTGTGGAGTGTGTGGAGGATTTTTTTGGGAGAAGAACGACCGAGGAGAGCGAGGAGAGAGAAGAAAGGAAGGAGGACAAACCCCGAGGAAAGCGGAGAGAATCTTGAAGACACCATTCCCCGTGAGTGCCCTATTTTTTTTATTCCCTGCCCCAACGAATTTCCCTGCCCGCGTTAATTTCCCCCCAACGGTGAACCTCCAATACATTCATGTTAGTTGTAAATTAAGCCCCCTATTAATGATGACGTTTTCAGTCGGCCCCCCTCACTTCTCCCCCTTTTCCCAGAGTTAGAGTCACCCCCTCTTTTTATTATATAATATTTCGCGTAGCCGCAAGTGAGTTGGCTTTACCCCCCCACCCTCGAGTTATTAGTCAAAAGGCCCGGATTATTTTTTGCGTTAATATTGTGTTATGAGATCAGAATACAGATAGTCAATTCATAAATCCCTCCGAGTAATCCTTTCCACCCCCCCC